TTACTACAATGTAGTGTTATAGAAACTTAAATACTAGTATAAAAATTGAACATAAATTACTATAATTTCATTACTAATGTAATCACTAATCACATTTTTTTTGTAAACAACCTTGTATAATTACTTCCAAAAATTAAACCACCCCGATAGACACACATGTAAATATCTCAAATTCCTCAGCTTCAATTCTTGGAAGAAAAGTGGGCAACTATAGCTTTGTTTTTGGAATTTGGTTAGCAGGTAGCAATGAGTGTTAAAAGCCATGGAGGCATGTTGGGTGTCGATTTCTTTCCGGCTCAGGTCTCCAACCCTTTTGCTATACTCTCACACACCACTCTAGGCTAGACCACAACACAACTCCAAGCTTCTTCTCTACCACTAAGGTATTCTCTCTCACACTCTCACACAAAGGAAATGGAGAAGAAGAAGGGCACTGCTCACTCTAGTTTTTCACGCAGGCTACCTCAACAAGGGAGAAGCAAAGCTACTAAATAATAGGCTGGTAGACACAAGGACACTCACATGTGATGCAAAGACAAGGAGGGCAGCATAGGACAGCTCAAAGGGGTCACTCCACATAAGTCAAAATGGCCATATTATTGGTTAGGAGAGATTCAAATAAAGAGGTGCCAAAGTGGGAGTAAACATGGGGTGCAAGTCAATAATAAAGTGGAAGGGAGGCCTTGGTAGGACCAATACCTCCAACATTCTCCACCTTATTGGTCCTAGGTGGTGTAGAGTAGCAATACAAAGTTGTGAGGAGACTCATCATCGCCGGACCATTACAAGTACATCATTGCGATCATACAAGTAATAGATGAGAACCAAAGTTCCCTTTCGGACCAAGCTTACCGTGCAAACCCACTTCACGATGGACTGAACTCTACCAATCGGTCCTCGAGTTCAGAACCAAAACCATCACAAAACTATTAACAAGCACAACACATGTTAATAGACCACGCAAGCAAGCATCCGGGAGAAGTTGGGGATTCCAACTAATCCAACAACCACACAAAGCAAGTACAAAGAAAATAAAAGAAACAATATTATTTATATAACTAGCACAGGTAGAGCTCACATAATCACTTGGTATCACATTTTCAAGACACAAAGAAAATAGCATACCAAATATCACAAAGATTTTAAGTAAAAGAGAATTAAGCACATTAAAAGCAGACTCAGTGGAAATATAGTCAAACACATTGCACATATTATTTCTCTCATGCTTCCTAATGTCTCTATCTCTAATAACATGGCAATCACGCAACTCAAGCATATTGCACACAACATTCATATCATGCTCCACCTTAATAGAAATATTATTTTCTTTATTTTCACCATGAAAAACATTTTCATCCACAAATTTGGGTGCGGTTTCAACAAGTAAATCAGAATGAACATCAGGCAAATGAGATTCAACAAGCAAATGCTCCACCTCATTTGGAGCAACATCAGGAGAAACAAGCAGGCAAGGAAATTCATTTTCAACAAAAATGACATTTCTACTCATCAACACATTGAAGCAAGTTTCACTCCTACACCAAAGCCTATAACCTTTCATGCAATCATGATATCCTAAGAAAACATATTCCTTAGTCCTAGGTTCAGATTTATCATTCACATGATTCACATAAGCAGCACAACCAAACACTCTCAAATTTGGCAAGTCAAGTGGTTTGCCCATGAACACAGATTCAGGGCATTTCCCTCCTAAGGGAACAGACGGGGACAGATTACTCAAATCAACAGCATAACAAATAGCTTCACCCCAGAACTTATTAGAGAGCCCAGATGAAGCTAACATAGCCCTCACCCTCTCTAATAAAGTTCTAACCATCCTCTCAGCAACCCCATCCGGTTGGGGTGTGGAGGGAACAGATTTATGCATAGAAATACCCCAAGTATCACATAAATCACCAAGCTGACTATCACAGAAATCAAAACTGACAGTGGTCCTTAAAAAATTAATTTTCTTACCGGTTTGTTTTTCAACAAGGGTTTTCCAGTTTTTAAACTTATCAAAAACTTCAGATTTATTCTCAATCAACAAAACCCACACTTTCTTTGAAAAATCATCAATCAACGTCAGAAAATAATTTTTCCCACCATGAGTGGAAACACCATAAGGACCCCACAAGTCAGCATGAATACAATCAAGCACATTAGTACACTTAGGCAGATCAGGAAAACCAACTCTAGACTGTTTTCCTAGCACACAGGGTTGCACACAATTCACAGAATCAAATACGGGTTCAGCATGACAAACATACAAGTTGTTTTTCATCTCAGCTTTGAAAACAACTAAACAACCCTTCACAACTTTCATGATTCCCTTTCCCCATTTTCCCTTCAAACCATCATTTTCAAGAGATGCACAAGATAGCAAATTACAACACAGCTCAGGAACATGCCTAACATTCTTCAAAGTAAGCACATAACCAGAAGAAAACCTAAGGCATACATCTCCTATTCCTAGCACATTGCATTTCTTCTCATTTGCTAAAGACACAAAGCCATGCTCAATCTCTCTATAGTTTGAAAAAACATTTTTCAAAGGGGACATATGAAAAGTACAACCAGAATCTACCACCCAATCTGATTTACCCAAAGAATCAGATATCACAGAACTCAAATAGTCATAATCACATAGATTTTTCATCATAAAAACATCACCTAAATCATCTTCACACGTAGTCAAATTAGCATGCTCACTATGCTCATTTTTCCTAGATTTAGGACAGTCTCTTATGAAATGACCAGGTTCATGACAATAATAGCAACGCCTCGAATTAGACCTAGACTTAGATCTATGTCGTCTACTATTATTTTCTCTACCCCTCACATGCATAACCTCCTCAGATTTTCTACCATCATCCATCTGTTTTAAATCTAATTCCTTACTCTTAAGACCATTTACCACAATGTCAAGAGTCACATTATCTCTACCATACTTAATAGCAGATTTCACATCACTAAAGGAATCAGGAATAGCATTTAAAAGAGCAATAGGGGAATAATCATCTATATGTTTATCACCACACAACTTAATATCCGAAATAAGTTTGGTAAAAACATCTAGATTTTCTTCAATATCTATAGACATATCTAGTCTAAATTTGAAGAATTTCTCAAGTAAAAATATCCGGTTAGGCAAAGAGGTTTCAGTATACAGTTCATTCAATTTATCCCACAGAATTTTAGCACTCTCTAAAATTCCAACTTTTCTAATCACAGAGTCAGATAAGTTCAAATAAATCACAGAACATGCATTTTCATTCATTTCAGCCCTTTTCTCTTCTGTGTCAGAAATTAAATAGGTTTCGCCAACTGCTTTAAAACATTTTTGTTGTATTAAAATACATTTAATTTTTTGCTTCCAAATGCTAAAATCAGATTTTCCATTAAATGGAGCCATACCATACTGATTATAAGCAGACATTTTCACAGAGGAAAAAAAAGCAACAAAAGAAAATGTAAATTTAGCTGAAAACAATTTAAATATTTATAAGGCTACAACTATACGGAGCAACTAGCACGAACACGCGGGGAGTATAATGAGCACCAAACTTAACTTCAAACCCCTTGTTCTTCTGTATAAGCACAAATAAATAATAAATTTTCAGCACAGAACAACACAACAATTCTAACAATTTTAACAGCAATAATAAACCTAAAATATAATTTCTAAACAATAAAAGATTAAATCACTACAAAAGCGATAAAAGGGATAAAAGTAAATATACCGGAGCGAAACCCTAGGAGAGGCGTTTCGACCTTACCCACCCAATTTTTAAAAAATTGGGATTTTCGGAATTGTTGACTGGTGTTGACTGCCCGTTGACCAGCTTTGACTGAGTTGATTAAGCAGTTGACCGAGCCTTTATTCTGCTCCAGGCCCAGCCCCAAAAAAAAATTACAGTCCAAGGTCCAGCCTCAACTCCAGCAACTCAGCAGCCGTCCAGGTCCACAAATCCTTCAACAACGCAGCAGCCCAAAAGCATCTCAGCAGCGCCCAGGTCCAGCGAAGCAGACTCTTCTGCTTTGACCCTCGCCCAGCCACGTACCACCAGCCCAGCTAGGTCCCAAAAACCTTGCGTTCTTTTCAGCTCCTGCGACGGCGGACGGTGGCTTCCAGGCGACGGATTCGGTGGCAAATCAACCGGCTTCCAAGCTTTCCAGGATTGACTTCAATTCGTCCACCTCGTTCTGCGTTTCGCGTACTGTTACAGGAACACGAGTTTCGTTTCAGACCTTCACGCTCCAGCGATTTGCGCAGGTCTTCAACCAGTCCGTCAGCTCCCAGTGATGAACAAGGGCGGAAAGTGACAAACTCAGTCTATTAGTTACGCACAGCAATTCAGGGAGTCCAGGTTCCACTCCTTCTTCAAGCTTCAGCTTCTATAGCTGCCGTCCAGATCCAGCTCAAGCCCGGCAACGAACGGATTTGGGCGAGCTACCTGCGACGGAGAATCCAGAAATAGCACCCACCAGTGACTTCAAACGATGGTGAAGCGGCACAAGATCGGCGTACGGCGGCGTACGGCGGAGGACGGCGGAGGAAGGCGGCGGGGGCGGAATCCGGCGAAATCGACGGCGACGATAAACTGGCTCTGATACCACTGTTGAGTGTCGATTTCTTTCCGGCTCAGGTCTCCAACCCTTTTGCTATACTCTCACACACCACTCTAGGCTAGACCACAACACAAATCCAAGCTTCTTCTCTACCACTAAGGTATTCTCTCTCACACTCTCACACAAAGGAAATGGAGAAGAAGAAGGGCACTGCTCACTCTAGTTTTTCACGCAGGCTACCTCAACAAGGGAGAAGCAAAGCTACTAAATAATAGGCTGGTAGACACAAGGACACTCACATGTGATGCAAAGACAAGGAGGGCAGCATAGGACAGCTCAAAGGGGTCACTCCACATAAGTCAAAATGGCCATATTATTGGTTAGGAGAGATTCAAATAAAGAGGTGCCAAAGTGGGAGTAAACATGGGGTGCAAGTCAATAATAAAGTGGAAAGGAGGCCTTGGTAGGACCAATACCTCCAACAAGGCATAAGAAGGATCCTGTATCTGCTCTTGGTCAGCTCACATCTTTTTTCAAGTCACTCACGAGCTTCACTTCTTCTCTGGTAGCCGATCTTGGTAAGTAAATAAATCTGGCCGCTCACCTCCTAACTAGCCTGATTTGTGCCCGGGATTATTCACACTCTAATAGGATTGAGTGGTTGAAGACTTCATATACTACGCATTACTAACTCAGTCATTTTTTACTTTTCAATGGTTTTGATTAGTATGGAGTATAATGTTAAGAAAGTTATAAACTTTGAAAGTATTTTTATATAAGTAGAGAATCTTTCATGTCCAGCTGGCTGATGGAAACCACCGTCCTGCCCTTTGAGTTTTTCCAGGTGAAATTTTTTGACTATTTTTCTTAGCATGTTCGTCAAATCTAGTTTATACAGGCAGTTAAAGAACATGCTTCAAATCTAGTTAAATTTTTTGACGATTTTTCTTAACATGTTCTTCATCAGATGTGGCGTACCAGATAATAGGATTGAGTGGTTATTTTTTTGACGAAGTATAATTTTTTGAAAAACACTGCGCTGTTTATACATATTTAACTGCGCAGTGTTCTTAAATAATTTATTTGACTGTCTTTTCGATTAAATTTTTAGCTGAAATTTTGTGGGCATAAACTAGACTTGATCTAGAACATGCTCAAAAACTTTCGTAAAAACATTCCACCTCGAAGGGTTCCAAACGCCCTTGGCCGAACGGCGGTTCCCGTCAGACCGAATGTCACTCGTTTTAAGTAATTTGATATGCTGAAGTCGGTATGAGATGACTTGGCCCCTTTGGTAGCCCTATTTTTCGCCTTGTTATCAATTGACGTTTTAACCAAAAGCACAATTTTTTATTTCACCTGCTGAATTCTGCGTAGTATAATAATAAGAAAGAGTAAGATTATAGTTACTTTTTTGTTGTATTGGCTAGAAGGTCGTTTAATCTATTTTTAATATAATTTTTCTTTATTTTATTAATAAAATATATTTTAAATATTTTTTTCATAAACCAGTAGAATTGATCAATACAGCCGATTTTGGTATTACCAAACGGGTATAGGGATGGAGTGGAATTCAATTAGTTAAACAGATAATTGATCTAGATTTCTGCTTCTATTATTAGGTGCCGACACTCCACTGACGTTGTCATTCTTTTGTTACTTGTTGTTGTCATTGGTGTACGGAAGCCTCTTCATTTTTAGGCGCCCCAGAAACTCATGGTATGCTAGATTAATTAATCTTCATGTTTCAATTTGAATTGATCTTAATAAATATCTATATTTATTGAAGTTAAATGGGTAATTAATTATGTTGCATGCAGGTTCCCTGGTATTGGTATCTTCTCATAGGATTTGCTGATGTCCAAGGAAACTTTCTTTGTAAGGCCATATATAGCTGCATTACTTTAAAATTTACCAACTTTAGTATACCTATATGGAATAATAAAAAAGAAATCTTTAGCTTTCTGAGAGCCCCACATTCCCGAGTAAATATTTGGTGTACGCCAATGTGCTCACTACTAGCAGGTTGACACTATAAATGGCCCGATTAAACTCATCTAGTAAGCACTTTGGCGTGCTCCATGTATATTTGGCCACTTTCCCTGCCATGGCTTGCACTCCATCCAGAAATGCCTCATTGTGATATTTGTACACTTAATTTGTTTCAAGTGTAATTGGATATTAATAAGTTGTAAACTTAACTTACAGTTAACAAGGCTTACCAATACTCGTCAATTACAAGTGTGACAATACTGGACGGTTGGACAATCCCTTGGGTAATATTGCTGACATGGATCTTCCTCGGAACCCGATACTCCCTATGGCAGTTCTTTGGTTCCGCTGTCTGTGTTTCCGGGCTAGGCCTAGTCCTCCCATCCGATTCCGGGGTGAGCAGAGGAGGCGATCTTTCATTCTTTCATACTCTAATCTCCTACTTTCATGTTACTGAATCGGATCGTGTAGTTTTACTCTTGAACCATTTAGTACTGCCCAATTTTGAAATGAGAGGGTACTGAACCCATTTAAAAAAATGCAATAATCTAGAAACTGTTTACAGATGAATTTTAAACACCAAAAGTGAAAAGAAAAGATTCAAAAGAAGAAAAATGTAAGCGATAAGCGTAAGGCATAAATATAACCTGAAAATGCAAAACAACTAATTTGTGCATGCTATAGGTAGATAGATGTCTAGTAGGCCTAGTCAATTCTGTATGTCCAGCAGCTACTGAGTCCAATTATATTATAAAGAATAGTTAAAATAGATTGATTAATATCACAAAATAATAGCATTAGTAATAAAAACCAAAACTACACAAAGTACTCCGTATATGTGATCAAACGGCCCGTTCAGGATAACCGGTCAGCAAAAGTGTGTAACAGTCCGGTTTTGTTTGAGAAAGATTTGGCATCAATGCGGTACGAAAAGAGAACGTTTCATTTTATTGATTTTGTACAATTATGGTCCAAGCCTGTGCTTCTTCTGTATTTTTGCCCACGCTTTATGTAGAAATCTAAATTACTAGTCTAAATGTACTAGGCTAGAACCATAACGTTTCTATACCATGGGTTTTCTATGGTTCTGTGAAATTTCTAACTGTTTATTTCTATAATTTTAGTGACATAGGATTTGAAATTCAAGCGTATGTGTCAACAAAAGACAGGAATTCTACTATTTGTATGGAGTAAAACCAAACACCACTATTGTTCTCTTTGGATTGAATTTCTGCAATGCTATGGTAAACTTGAACAAATAATCTAGGTTTGTGGGGAATAGGTTGACCTGATTGAATAACCTTGATCAATTTTCTTTTGCAGCTGGTTTTGGTTGATGCATATTGAATAATACAATAAAAAATACAGCATGTGGCAAATACCCATATACCCAACTTTTGGTAGTGAAAACGGAGTTGATTCACTCAGTTAGCTTACTTTGATACTTTCAAATAAATCACGAAACGTGGTGTATCAAATTATATTCGCAGATTCATCTCAATCCAAACAGTGCAAAAATTTGCAACTACCTTTATTTCAGGTAGCCCTAGACCTCTTCTGGGAGATGCATTAGTAATTATGGCAACACTTTTCTTTGCATTGACTAATGTTGGTGAGGTTAGTGAACCCAACTCCTCTCGGTTTCCTTATAAGTAGGGAAATATTAGTATTTTGATTATCATTTAAAACCTCAAACTTGTATTTGAGACAGGAGTTTTGTGTGAAGAAGAAAGATCTTGTTGAAGTTATCTCAATGATGTCAATATCTGGGTTGCTAGTGAGCATTTGTCAGATGTATCCTTTTATTACTGTACTGACATTTCATCATCTAATTTGAGTATCAAGTCTTTTGTCATTTGTCAACAATCTATTAGAGCTATCATGGAAAGGAATAGTCTAGAGTCGGTGAAATGGTCTGCAGAAGTGGTAAGAAAAATCGTAATCCTTGGTGTCATTAATGTTGTTTAAACCGACTATATTAATAGAGAGTGCTGTGAAATTTTACCCAGAGTCTGGCATTTGCTGGTTATCCGTTTGCAGCCTTTCTGTTCTACTCATTTGCTCCTTTTGTTCTAAAGGTGAATACTTTTACGCCTTCTTTTGTGTTTATGTACAAGATAAACTCTTCTTTTTACACAACTAGATTTTCACCCGTGCGATGCACGGGACAAAAATTAAGGAATGTCTACTTCGAATAGGCAGATATGATATAGAGTATTATTATTATTATTGTTGTTGTTGTTGACATTATTTGTTAATGTGTAAATAAATCTTAAGGGTATAGATAAAAAAAATTTAAGAAGGGAAAAGATAGTTACGGCTCATAATTGATATGTAGTATGTTTGAGAATAAGAAGGAATAAATATATATTACAATAATATTTTTGCGATCTACACAATTAATATCGAAGCACTTCCTTGTTTGAGGAATGAGACACTCAAACAAAAAATGTGAGTATCACCTCTTGAAGATAAAATGCATGAGTCTCGATCGTTTAGGTGACTTTATTTTTTGATGGGTCACTCATATTTGTCACATTTTTATTGCTCATACATTTCTCTCCGTTCAATTTGAATATTCACATACACACAATATGGTAAATCTAACTCTTTTTTAGGGAAAACTTTATACAGAAAGTCATGAAGCAATTTAGTGATATACAAAAAAAGAATCATATGCCCCATCTATCAAATACAAAATCTATCACTTGAATGGATGAAAACAAAAATGAGTAAACTTGTAACATCAATGGCAAGTTTGTTTCTGTAATGCTATTTAAAAACAGAAAATTCTAGGTTGCTTTGTTTATTGCTACTCAAACAATTTCATTTCAAGTTTATTTCTCATGTCATGTTATAATGGCAGAATTGAAAATTTGTATTCTTGTTTAACCACATCGATGTTATACTCTCATGCCATGTTCTATTAAATGAAAAAAACATTTATCAAACATGTAAAAAGTTGATTTTATATGCACACCTTTATAAACTAAAGTTGCGTGAATCTTCCCAAACAAATCTATTTGAAATAAACTGAAAAATTATTATTTTTGAATAAAAAAGAAAACAGGATATCTAAAATCACATGTCCTGAACATAATATATCCGGAAACCCCCCAAGTTATATTCCCTATCGTCAAACATGTGATGAATATTTGGCCAAGCTCTCCATCTGGAATTGAGTATGTAATTGAAAGAAGTAGGGGACACATCTTCAGGCGGCTGAGGTGAGCCTATTTGAAACAATAAAAACCACTAAATGAGATCATCATAGTCATTTAGTTTGAAGATGAGATTAACCTATACCAAATGATGTTTTTTTGTCATACGCAGTATATACTAAAAGTTTACAGTTACGCGGCTTACGCCTAGTCCAAATAATTCTAGTCGTACCAATTTTTTCAGCTAAAACTCAAAAATTCATCAATTTCTTAAAATTATGATGCAAGTACGTTACAGTGTATATTTCATATTCAAAAGAGAAAACCCCCAGGAATATGACCCACTAACATTACATTACAGACCAGAGTACTGTGATGCTTGAAACCTGCAAAACTTGTTCCCACATCTCAAAATGAATATTCCTCCAAGTCAGCCTTTGAGTCACCAAGTTCCAGTTCACACATATACACTCTTCTGCAGAGTAAGGAGGAAGTTGCCTAGTCTTCCGCTTCAGGTTGTGTTTGTGCCACTCACTTATCCGTCTTCTTCTACATGAATCCAGCAAGTCGCTAAGTCAGATCCCAAGATGGCGAGGAAACTGCAGGCCCAAGCCCTACTAAATCAATCCCTTAAAATCATTTAAACTGCCTATGAATATTGTATATAAACATAACTAAAATAAACTATATGTAGTACTATTAAAACCGCCTCTTTAGTATAAATTGATTCTTTAGTTTCTAAAATGCATGTATTGAAAAGATCTCTTGTGCTTGAAGAAAATACATAAGAAACTAACGGTGCAAAGAAAATTAGTTGAAGAAGCTTACCTTGACATCAGAAGCTACGGGAAAATAAGAAGAAATCTTAATTGTCGTCTTCCTGAAGTCCGCAAGCCGCGGAGCCCAACGACGTAGAGTCTGCCAAACCACCACTCGCAGTCGCTGGCCTCCTCTTCCTCTTTGGAACTGCCTCCGCCCAGTTAACTATGGCGTCATCCCCCTATGTTGGCCACCGTTGCTGAAAAAGAAAGCCCTAGATCTGCCATCCTCATCCCCAAGATCGGAAAATTGCTTGTTGAGGCACCCTGTCCCGAGCAGTTTCAATCCAGTGCGGTCGCCACCGTCCATCGCCATATGCTTTATCTCCTCCATGGAGTATGTTTTTGAGTTTTTACCTAGTGTATAAAACGTTTGAATCTGATATGTGGTTATCAACCAAGAGTCAGGCGGCACAACTTTCAACGGAACACCCAGCCCTATGTCCCTATATTAGCTTCCAGCGCAATCCACTACCAAAATTTAGGTTGGACAGATGTTTGACCGTGATGTGACACTTTTGAGCGGGAAAAATGGCCTGTTTTCCACCTCTTTTTATATAGAGATAGATATGACTCTATACTCAAATCCCATTGATGGAGTAGCCTCTTCTGTGGTACAGATGAGCGGATCCACACTGTTATGTTTGTCTCTTCTAACTTCGATATGTGGGCAGCTGTCATCAGAATATTTTTCTACAAGCAGAAGGCAATATTACTTTAAATATTAGTCATCCTCTGATTTTGTTGCAATCTTCAATACTGGCAATACTAAAGTAACTATGATCTCTCAATGAAATGCAGATTGACTGGCTTTACTATCTAGCTTTCGGGCTAGTAGTTATTGGACTTGTTGTATACTCAAAAACGTAATCCCTCTATCTTTTCATTTGCATCTTTAGCCAAACTGGACAAACTCTTTTAGTTTTATCAGTGTTTACTAAACTTAGTTTTCCCAAACCCCGTTTGGATGACTTATTACCTAACATAGACTGATATTAGACTTTAATTGCATACATGGCATGACAGGGAGAAGGGATCAGTTTCTGCCGCAGAGAGTGAGGATGGTTTGGCGTACGAAATTCTGGATGGAGAGTGCACAGACGCAAGAAAAGATAATGCGGATGTCGTTGATGTTTAAAGGACTTGTGTTGTTTCTTGGCAACACTTCATAGAAATGAATTGCAGCACATCCCTATATTTGATAAAGAAAGGCCAACACTTGAGGAAGCATGGATATACTAGAACTTGTGTCAAGTTTGGCTGTTTGTATAATTTATTGTCTTGTGGAAGTGTGAGTCTCACACCTAAGATTGATTTATGGAAGTATTCAACCCTCATATATCACTGCATTAGTGTTTTTCAACCAACTTTGGTACACTTAACCCCAATTGGAAGTCATATGAGATCAGGGCTGCATATTTCACCTTCACATCTATCATTGTGGTCTTGAATTCACTCACATATATCTTCAATTAAAACCATGTCAACTTTAATTTCTTTTTTTGACCATTCCAAAAATCCTATTGCATTTCCTTTTGACAAAGTAATGTATATGCACATATTGTTTGTTGTTGAAAAGTAATTAACTATTCAATATGATTAGGTAGTCATTGTCATCATTATCAAAACTATTAGAAAATCATGGATTATGATGTGGAGTTAATAATTGTGTGACTCACAATTAACTCCTAATATAGAGGATATTCGTTTTTTTATTCTACAAATACAAGGCTTTTCCTTCACTCATATACGGAGTATTTGCTAATTCGGGAATAATTTTTAATAGTATTAGCAATATAATTCTCTAGTATTCATGAAAGGTTTTACATAATTCAATTCAACTTGAGATTGTTTTTTAATATTTAAAACGGGGCAGGGGCGGGTAAATGTCTAAAATACTAATCGGACCACACGATCTGCACTTTGCTTATTGCTTGTAATGGTTTTACTAAAAGTCTAAAATACTAATCGGACCTCACGGTCCGCACTCTTTTTATTGCTTGTAAAATTATCTTTTGGAATGAAATTTGTTAGTCTGGTCTGATTTGGTCTGATCTATTTTAGCTTAATCTGGTCTGGTCTAATTTGTTTTAGTCTGATCTGGTTTGAAATTTTATTTTCACTGAAGTATTATTATTTATATAATATAATTCGTAAATAATTAATTTTTATTCATAACTCATACTCCCTCCGTATCAAATTAATTGACTCACTTTCCTTTTTTGGTGTATCAATTTAATTGACCCATTTCCCTTTTTGGAAAGAATCTCACTCAAAAAGCAGCTACAGTACCGCTACAGTACCGCAACAGTGTCGCTACAGTACCAAAAACCTCTTACTTTTAATAAAGTCTACAGTAATTGTCTTAAACTGCGTGAAAAGCAAACGGGTCAATTAATTTGATACGGAGGGAGTACAATTTTTTGTAAATATATATTAGCTCTATTGTTTCATGATGTGAATTCAAAAGTGCAACGCGTTAGCTCAACTTAAAAGTGTAATGCGTTTTCTCTGTCATTGAGGTATAAAAAATAAATTTAATGCTATGTACATGAAATAATAATAATAGAAACAATTACAATATAACAATAATAAGAATATAAATAATATATATAGTAATATAATACTCCATAATAATAATAATAATAATAATAATCATAATAATACTCCCTCCGTCCCGAAAACAACTTCTCGGATGGACTTTCACACACTTTTAGGAAATAAATTTGACTTTACTGTAGAATGCATTGTTTTGCACTGTTTAAACATTGTTTGGCACTGTTTAAACACTGTTTGGAACTGTTTAAACACTGTTTGGCACTGTTTATCACTTTTTTGATGTAGATAATTTGCCAAATAAGGAAAGTATTGAAGTGTGAAGTTAATTTTGGGACATCCATTTAAGGAAGTGGGAAGTTGTTTCCGGGACGGAGGGAGTAATAATAAGGATGATAATAATAGCAATAATAATAATAATGATAATAATATTAATATGATCTGGTCTGATTTGATTTAGAGCCCGTTTAGTAACACGAAAATTGGCACATTCGGTTGATTCTGCTGAAATTTATGAAATTCTGGCTGGAGTAGCTGGATTGGCTAATTCTGCTGATTTAAGAAAAAAAATTAAAATATATTTTATTAATAAAATAAAGAAAAAATTATATGTAAAAATGGCTAAAATGGTCATCTATAGTAACTTCAGCCAATACAGGTAGAAAAGTAACATGAACCTTACTTTTTTTTATTATTACACAATTCAGCGTGCGAAAACAAAAGTTATGTGTGTGGTGAAAAAACTGGTTGATAAGCCGAAAAACCGTGTTACCAAACGACCTCTTAGAAGCCGTTCTCTTCGTCTTACTTATTGCTTATTCTTATTTTATTCAAATCAGATCAGATCAGATCAGATCAGAAACATTCAGATCAGAAAATTTCAAACATGATTTATCACTTTATTATTATAATAATTATAATTATAATTATTATTATATGATAATAATAATAATTATGTTAATATTATTATTACTATTATTATAATTATAATAATATTTATTATTATAGTATTACTATAATAAGATAATAATAATTATTACTATAATTATATTCTTATAATAATTATTATGTTATTATTATAATAATAATTATTATATTATATTTATAATAATAATAATAATTATTATTATTATATTGTAATTATTATTATAATTGTTGTTGTTGTTGTTATTATTAGTATCATACGGAGTATGGAATGACTAAAAGCATATTTATAATTATAATTGCAATTTTAATTATAAATTTAATTATAATTACATCTATAATTACAATTAAAATTATAATTATATATACAGTTATAATTAGTGTAATAAGTATAATTATTATAATTTTAATTATAATTATTATATATTTTTTAAAATTATGATTATAATTATAATTTTATTTTAAATTATATTAGTAATTATAATTATAACTATTATAATTATAATTACAATTATAGAAATATTCAAGTCAGATCAGATAAGAAACTAGTGCTTTACCCAGGCGTTGCCCCGGGTGCATATTGAGGTTGTTAGAACTTTTGTAATATATATAGAAGCAATATGAATAAGTCTTTTAATTAAAAAGAAGCAATAAAAAATTACATTGTACAAAACGCGTGAATTGTGTAACACAGTACACATAAAATATCACATTTTTAGGTTTTGAAAAACCACTTTATAAACAACATTATTGTCTTTGTGGAGAACCCTTTTTCTTTTGAACGAATGAATATCTTCAGACAATCTCTGCTCCTCACCCTTGATATTGCCACATACAATTGACCATGAGTGAAAACTTGTCGCTCAAGGTATAAACCGACATGTGCTAACGTCTGACCTTGACTTTTATTGATTGTCATCGCAAAGCATATCATCACAAGGAATTGTTTCCTCTGAAAATTGAATGACATTGTCATATCTAATGGTGACAATGGAATTCTAGGTATGTAAACCTTATCTCCCATAACTTTTCATGTTATTACTTTGGCTTCCAACACGTGCTTTCCCAGTTTGGTTACGACTAACCTCGTTCCATGCATAATCCTGCTGCCCGATCAATATTTATCAATAACATTATCGGTGCTCCTATTTTTAAATGGAGGATATGATTAGGCAATCAAGACATTGATATGCTATTAAGAAACTCAGTTGTGTACATATGTCCATGGAAGGGATCTATGACTGATGGGATTATACTACCTGAACTGAAGTGTGTAACTTCCTCGCCATGAATCAATGAGAGTATGTAGTCATTTATGTCATTGAAAATGTCCAATGTAGATGCAATGGTCGCTCTTTCTTATAGATATTCATGATCATTGAATCTATTAAGGAAGTCAGGATATGTGATATCAACTATAGTTGCAATGTGGTTATCTTTTACCTTTAGGAGCAAAATCATCTAGGATCTCCACTTCTTGAACCCACTTAAGAACCCACTTAGCAAACTCTTCAGTTTGTTGTTTCCTAGAGTCATTCTTGGAAACACACCGGACGGGAACAACTTTGAAACATACATTGATTATCCATTTTCGGTGCACTCTATGAAAATTTAAACAATCAAAATAGTAATTTCTAGAAATAATGCATATACGAGGATCTGTATATATGCACGTCATGCAACCTTGAAATTTCATCCAATGATGGGAAACCACTTCAATTCTAGGTGGGTTTGCAATGTAAGAAGGTAGGTTATAATCATAATGAAGGTAAAAATTATTCATTATACTTGAGATAGTATGTTGTAGTAAAAACGTACACAAATCATCTAAATTAGTATAGATTGGCACATCATGCGTGAATCTATAGTTGTCCGGTTTGAGACACTGTTTTAAGGTGAGCCTGAAATGTATGAAAACATATGGAATACGTTGAAGTATTGATAAAAACAGAAATGGGAAACAAAAATATCATAGTAAGTCATAATTAGATGTAACACAATGATAGAATAAGAAAATGATAAAAATACCAGTATTAGTGAAAATACCAATAAATCCAATGATTTTCAGCTTTTAACTTAAAAAGTGAAAAAATTATTTCAAGTGACAACTTCTGCTTAAATGAAACACTTAAAAGCTAAAATCTAAAAACTTTTTTTTTTTTACTTTTTCTATTACACAAAAAACACACATTTTACGAAACACTATCAACTTTTAATTTTCAAAATCAATTTTGGTTGAACACTGCCAATTTTTATGATTAAGCACTTTTTGTCGTTGTTTATTTCAGATACTCCCTCTGTCCCATTGGACTTTGCCAACTTTCCTTTTTTTTCTCCCAAAAACTTTTCCTCTGCACAAATCTCAACCACACAGTTTTTACTATTCTTATTTCTCACCTACTTTGCACTTGGCAAAGTCCACCGGGACGGAGGTAGTAATTGAGACTGATAAGTAAGTTTAACTGGCTATAAATTTAAATCTGTTGTATTCTTTTATAGAATATTTTTTCTTATTGGTGTTTTTATAATCTGTATGAACAAATTCCTAACCAAAAGAACATATTATTCCTAGCCATGTATCATTTGTACCTCTAATTAATACTTTCATGTATTCTCAAACGTGGAAAGTTGTTGTTTTGAGAGCATACATAATGTAGTATTTAACTTCTTCCCTTTTTTGATACTTCAGCACTTTAATGGTCTCGTTAAATTTGGAATGTAATTACGTAGTAACATATAGCCTGATTTACATAATTTACATAACATGCTTTAAGATTCTATCACTTGCAAATATGGCCTGAATTAATTGGACTCAATAGCAATAAGTGAATTCATAATTGTACTCAATAACAAATACTTGAAAGGTTATACTTTATTAGTAAGAAGAAGGTAGATATTCAGATCAGAAAGATTCAGATCATAAAGATTCAGACTAGATCAGACCAGATCAGAACGATTCAGATCAGATAGGTCAGA